CCAACACCACAGTTCAAAAGCATCAATTCTTCAGCACTCAGCTTTCTTCATGGCCCAACTCTCACATCCATACATGACCACTGGAAAAACCATAGCCTTGACTAGATGGACCTTTGTTGGCAAAGTAATGTTTCTGCTTTTTTTTTTTTTTAATTAAAAAAAAAACTTTCTTTAATTCTCAGGTTCTGTCCTTGTAGCTTTCATGATGGGATATTTTTGTCTTTTTTTTTTTTTTATCACAACCATAGTGTATCTTTTTTTTTTTTTTTTTTTACATGTATTCCCCATCCCGGTCCCCCCTCCCACCTCCCTCTCCACCCAATCCCTCTGGGTCTTCCCAGTGCACCAGGCCCGAGCACTTGTCTCATGCACCCAACCTGGGCTGGTGAACTGTTTCACCCTAGATAATATACGTGTTTCAATGCTGTTCTCTTGAAACATCCCACCCTCGCCTTCTCCCAGAGTCCACAAGTCTGTTCTATACATAGGAGTCTCTTTTTCTGTTTTGCACATAGGGTTATCGTTACCATCTTCTAAATTCCATATATATGTGTTAGTATACTGTAATGGTCTTTATCTTTCTGGCTTACTTCGCTCTGTATAATGGGCTCCAGTTTCATCCATCTCATTAGAACTGATTCAAATGAATTCTTTTTAATGGCTGAGTAATATTCCATGGTGTATATGTACACAGCTTCCTCATCCATTCGTCTGCTGATGGGCATCTAGGTTGCTTCCATGTCCTGGCTATTATAAACAATCTTGCATTCCTATACACTAACAATGAGAAAACAGAAAGAGAAATTAAGGAAACAATACCATTCACCATTGCAACAAAAAGAATAAAATACTTAGGAGTATATCTACCTAAAGAAACAAAAGACCTATACATAGAAAACTATAAAACACTGATGAAAGAAATCAAAGAGGACACAAACGATGGAGAAATATACCATGTTCATGGATTGGAAGAATCAATATTGTCAAAATGGCTATACTACCCAAAGCAATCTACAGATTCAATGCAATCCCTATCAAACTACCAATGGTATTTTTCACAGAACTAGAACAAATAATTTCACAATTTGTATGGAAATACAAAAAACCTCGAATAGCCAAAGTAATCCTGAGAAAGAAGAATGGAACTGGAGGAATCAATCTGCCTGACTTCAGACTATACTACAAAGCCACAGTCATCAAGACAGTATGGTACTGGCACAAAGACAGAAATATAGATCAATGGAACAGAATAGAAAGCCCAGAGATAAATCCACGAACCTATGGTCACCTTATCTTCGACAAAGGAGGCAAGGATATACAATGGAAAAAAGACAACCTCTTTAACAAGTGGTGCTGGGAAAACTGGTCAACCACCTGTAAAAGAATGAAACTAGAACACTTTCTAACACCATACACAAAAATAAACTCAAAATGGATTAAAGATCTAAATGTAAGACCAGAAACTATAAAACTCCTAGAGGAGAGCATAGGCAAAACACTCTCCGACATAAATCACAGCAGGATCCTCTATGACCCACATCCCAGAATTTTAGAAATAAAAGCAAAAATAAACAAATGGGACCTAATGAAACTTAAAAGCTTTTGCACAACAAAGGAAACTATAAGCAAGGTGAAAAGACAGCCCTCAGATTGGGAGAAAATAATAGCAAACGAAGCAACAGACAAAGGATTAATCTCAAAAATATACAAGCAACTCCTCCAGCTCAACTCCAGAAAAATAAATGACCCAATCAAAAAATGGGCCAAAGAACTGAACAGACATTTCTCCAAGGAAGACATACAGATGGCTAACAAACACATGTTTCTGCTTTTTAACATGCTGTCTAGGTTGATCATAACTTTTCTTCCAAGGAGTAAGCGTCTTTTAATTTCATGGCTGCAATCATCATCTGCAGTGGTTTTGGGGCCTAGAAAAATAAAGTCAGCCACTGTTTCCACTGTTTCCCCATCTATTTGCCATGAGGTGATGGGACCGGATGCCATGATCTTAGTTTTCTGAATGTTGAGCTTTAAGCCAACTTTTTCACTCTCCTCTTTCACTGGACATCACCAGATGATCAATACTGAAATCAGATTGATTATATTCTTTGCAGCCATTGATGGAGAAGCTCTATACAGTCAGCAAAATTAAGACCAGGAGCTGACTGTGGCTCAGATCATGAACTCCTTATTGCAAAAGTCAGACTTAAAGTGAAGAAAGTAGGGAAAACCACTAGACCATTCAAGTATGACCTAAATCAAATGCATTATGATTATACAGCGAAAGTGACAAATAGATTCAAGGGATTAGATCTGATAGACAGAGTGCCTGAAGGACTATGGATGGAGGTTCATGACAGTATACAGGAGGCAGTGATCAAGAACATCCCCAAGAAAAAGAAATGCAGAAAAAAAAATGGTTTTCTGAGGAGTCCTTACAAATAACTGAGAAAAGAAGTGAAAGACAAAGGAGAAAATGAAAGATAAAACCATTTGAATTCAGAGTTCAGAAAAATCACACTGAGAGATTAAAAAAAAAAAGCCTTCCTCAGTAATCAATGCAAAGAAATAAAGGAAAACAATAGAATGGGAAAGACCAGTGGTCTCTTCAAGAAAATTAGAGATACCACAGGAATATTTCATGAAAAGATGGGCACAGTAAAGGACAGAAATGGTATGGACCTAACAGAAGCAGAAGATATTAAGAAGAGGTGGCAAGAATACATACAGAAACTATACAAAAAAGATCTTCATGACCCAGATAACCACAATGGTGTGATTACTCATCTAGAGCCAGACATCCTGGAATGCGAAGTCAAGCGGGCCTTAGGAAGCATCACTACAAACAAAGCTAGTGGAGGTGATGGAATTCCAGCTCAACTATTTCAAATCCTAAAAGATGATGCTTTGAAAGTGCTGCACTCAATATGCCAGCACATTTGGAAAACTCAGCAGCGGCTACAGTACTGGAAAAGGTCAGTTTTCATTCCAATCCCAAAGGAAGGCAATGCCAAAGAATGTTCTAACTACCACACAGTTACACTCATCTCACATGTAGCAAAGTAATGCTCAATATTCTCCAAGCCAGGCTTCAACAGTATGTGAACCGTGAACTTCCAGATGTTCAAGCTGGATTTTTAAAAGGCAGAGGAACCTTTTGTCAGAGATAAAATTGCCAACATCTGTTGGATCATCGAAAAAGCAAGAGAGTTCTAGAAAAATATCTACTTCTGCTTTATTGACTACACCTAAGCCTTTGACTGTGTGGATCACAACACACTGAAGAAAATTCTTAAAGAGATGTGAATACCAGACCACTTTACCTGCCTCCTGAGAAATCTGTATGTAGGTCAAGAAGCAACAGTTAGAACTGATCATGGAACAACAGACTGGTTCCAAATAGGAAAAGGAGTACATCAAGGTTATATATTGTCACCCTGCTTATTTAACTTAAATGCAGAGTACATCATGCAAAATGCTGGGCTGGATGAAGCACAAACTGGAATCAAGATTGCTGGGAGAAATATCAATAACCTCAGATATACATATGACACCACTCTTAGTGCAGAAAGCAAAGAACTAAAGAGCTTCTTGATGAAAGTAAAAGAGGAAAGTGAAAAATGTGACTTAAAACTCAACATTCAGAAAACTAAGATCATGGCATCCAGTTCAGTCACTTCATGGCAAATAAATGGGGAAACAATGGGAACAGTGGTAGACTTTATTTTGGTGGGCTCCAAAATCAATGCAGATGGTGACTGCAGTCATGAAATTAAAAGACACTTGCTCCTTGGAAGAAAAGCTATGACCAACCTAAACAGTGTATTATAAAAGCAGAGACATTACTTTGCCAACAAAGGTCCATCTAGTCAAAGCTATGGTTTTTCAAGTAGTCATGTATGGATGTTAAAGTTGGACCATAAAGAAAGCTGAGCACCGAAGAATTGATACTTTTGAACTGTGGTGTTGGAGAAGACTCTTGAGAGTCCCTTGGACTGCAAGGAGATCCAACCAGTCCATCCTAAATGAAATCAGTCTTGAATATTCATTGGAAGGACTGATGCTGAAGCTGAAACTCCCACACTTCGGCCACCTGATGTGAAGAACTAACTCATTGGAAAAGAGCCTGATGCTGGGAAAGATTGAAGGCAGGAGGAGAAGGGGATGACAGAGCATGTGATGGTTGACTGGCATCATCAACTTGATGGACATGAGTTAGAGCAAGCTTCAGGAGTTGGTAATGGACAGGGAAGCCTGGCATGCTGAAATCCATGGTGTCGCAAAGAGTCAGACATGACTGAGTGACTGAACTGAACTGAAATATTACCAGTTCCCTTACCAAGGGTCAAATCAATGTGCATTTCCATCCATACCGAGTAAGAGTTCTTGTCTCTTCCCACTGACCAGAAGGCAGTGTATGATCAAACTGAAGAAAAATTTCTGCCATTATAATCATGAAAAAAAAAAATGTTGTGTTGATTTCAAGCACATTTCCCTAACTGTAGGTGAGTTTTGCTTGTTCTTTCTGAAGCTATGTTGGCAACTTCAGTCGAGTATGGTGAGGCCTGGGTAGCATTCTTTCCTTTTATGGTTGATTTTATTATTTGAATGTCAGAGAATAACCTTATTTTTAGGGAATTCCATTGTGGTCCAGTGATTAGGGCTCAGAGATTCCATGGCCCTGGGCACAGGTTTGATCCCTGGTCAGAGAACTAATATCCCACAATCCAAATGGCCAAAAAAGAAAGAAAAGAACCTTATTCTTAAGCACTGAGGAGGTGTCTCACTGTGGCCATTATTAACTTCTGGAATAAACAGAGTTCACAGCCTTTCTAAAACCTTGAGATAGATAGAGATAGGTGGATATACTTAGGCTGGCAAGTAGAGAGAGAGAGAAAGATTGCTGTTGGGGTGTTTGACAATGACATCATTCAAAGCAGATGGACTGGGGATTGGCCACACCTCACAGTTAATTGATGTCATGTGTTTTTTCATTGCAGCAATTCAGCTTTGTGTCCTTGCCCACTGATGTGCTGGAAATTGAGGTGAAGGACAAGTTTGCCAAGAGCCGCCCCATCATCAAGCGCTTTTTGGGAAAGCTATCAATGCCTGTTCAAAGACTCCTGGAAAGACATGCCATAGGGTAAACCTTGACCAAGAGCTCTGTATCACTAGGCATCAGCCAGTAGGCCAGGCCCAAGAAAGGCAACAATACAGCCTCATAGAGACTCAAACTGAAATACTGGTGTTGTATTTCCTTGGCTTCTCCCATTAACTATGTTGTTCAAGCTATGATATTTTATTAAACAGACCTTTCTTTTTCCCCTTGTTTGTTTACCTCTGGTTACTTATGCACAACAGTAAAAATTCCTAAGATGCTAGTGAAAGAAGGCCTTACTGCAGCATTTTTTTCTGTACAGATAGAAATTAAAATTTGTTTTACCACGAAGGATATCATTTCATTCACATGCCTGTCTTATGTGTAGGATTTAATCATTTGTGACATTTCCATAAAAAGATGAAATACTGGGTTACTAGACTAGAGTGCCTTACAAAACGCTAGTATTTATAGAAAATGCTAGATAAAATGTGTACAATTTTAAAAGCGTGAATCCTTATGAAACAACCACAATTATGCTGTTCACATAGTTTAGTTGTATATGACCTGCATTTTGTATCTTCTATATTCATGTCCATTCAATGTTCTTGGGACTTTCCTGGTGATCCAGTGGTTTAGATTCCGTACTCCCAATGCAGGGGGCCCAGGTTCAACCCCTGATCAGGGAACTAAGATCCCGCATGCCATGCAGTGTGGTCAAAAAATAAAATAAATAAATAAATAATATTCAGGGTTCTCATTTACCTCTGACCAGATAAAAATCCTTGTACATAATATGCATTTCTACAGGTAATAGCAGCTATATTTGAAAACATGTAGAGCTGTATGTGGTTTTCTGGTCATGGATATGCCTCAGTGCAATACTTAGAATGATACAAGAACATGTAATCAGAACCTTATAGCAGAGAGTTGACATTTACGAGGCTACAGTTGTGTGTGAAACAAGATGTTTGCATTTTCCACTAAAACAAGAATATACATAAAGAACATAAAGCTGGCCATGGGACATAGGGACTAAATGATTCCAAACTGTTCATTTTTTAAATATCAAACTTTATTCCTTTTAAAATAAAGGCTGCTAGGGAGGTGCCCTCGATTCCTTTGCCTGTAACATCCCAGTCCTCAGCCATCTGCCTTTTACTCTCTCTCTCCTCAAGTCCTCTAGTCTTGCCTGCCTCAGCTTCATATTGGAAATATCACCACTGCCTGGAACTCTTTACGTAAAGAACTCTTTACCAGTCTCATGTCCCCAGCTGGGTATAAGCTATTTAAAGACAGAGGTATGCATTACATGCTATGCATTACCTGCAGCACTTTTTACATTGCAGGGGCTCACAAAATATTTGTTGATAAAGTGGTCTCATTGTCTGATATTGTCTTTAGGCCTCCTCTGATTCCAACTAGGTTTGGGGTTCAGGTTCTCTTTCTTATGGTCATAGTAGACCTACCTCATAATATTGACCAAAGCCCTTGTCAATATTGTAGCTCATTCTAATTTTCCTGCATGTAATGCTTTATTTAATGGACTTCCTAGGAACTCCAAATATGAAACCAGGGCTTACCAAAGAGAAATGCTAAGTCAGTGGACCCCTGGGATATATGTTGTTTCACAGTGCTTGTGTTTTCTAAGAAGAAACATTGAAACACTATTAGCCAGTGATTTACCTTTTTATTTGAATGTCACAAATGAATGAATGGAATGAATATGTAATTATCTAAGTAACAACTGGTTTTGGAATATGTCTTTGTTATTACTGGATAGAGCGGATTTGTTCATTTCTGAATATCCCAGAGTAGTCACTCTTCCTTTTTAGGCCAAGGCAGGGTATCTTGTATTCTGCTGAATCCGCATTGTTGATGAAACTATAATAGCAAACTATCAAATTGATTTCTCTCTGGATAATTGTCTTCCTAGTAATTAAAAATCACCTTAGGTGAGCAGAGGGAATGGTGCCAGGGTCCACAGTGGAGTTTCAGAGTCTCTCTGTGGGACCCTGGAGCTGGTGTAATTGGAAGTCACAGGCCAGAGGACCCAGCCCACAAGTCTTGCTTTGCCCTGCTCTGAAGCAGTCCACAGGGTCTCTGGGAATCAGGATTACATCCTTCCATAGATAGATAGATAGCAGTAAGTAACTAGCTAGCTAGATTATTACAAGACAAGTATAAGCATCTGCTGCTGGCCCTGTCCATAATTAAGGGCTTATTTGGAAAATGTCAGCCTGCACAGGAAAAGCAAGCAAAGGATATCCATGTCTTTTTTTCCTTCTTCTTCTTTTTTTCTCTAAAACACAATTTGGCAAACTTTCTGTAAGGGGCCAGATAGTAAATATTTCAGGCTGTGTAGGCCATATGGTTTCTGTCCCAACTACTCAGCTCTGCAACTGTAGCATGAAAACAGCCCGACAAGAAGTAAACTAATAAGCATGACTGCATTCCAATAAAACTTTTATCTGTGGAGACAAATTGGAATTTCGTATCACTGTTACATGTCACAAAATGCTACTCTTCTCCTGCTCTTTTTCTAACCATTTTAAAATGTAAAAAGCCCATAGCATTATGAAAACAAATGATGGGCCAGATTTGGCCCATGGACTGTAGTTTACTGATCCCTGGCTTAGATTATTCGATAAGGATTTCATTGAAGTTTTCATTGCTATTGAGCAAATGTACTTTCCCATCTTTTCCTTAGGACCATCTTGTATGGTCCTGAGCAGACATCACCTCCTAATATCAGGGCCTTCCTGGCTTAGGTGCCTCACCTACTGGCATAGTGTGTGGTCTCTAGGAGAACAGGTGTTTACCAGATCTGTGATAGTGCTTATTTCCTTCTAGGGACAGAGTGGTCAGCTACACCCTTGGCCGTAGGCTTCCAACAGATCATGTGAGTGGACAGCTGCAATTCCGATTTGAGATCACTTCCTCCATCCACCCAGGTATTTCGGCATGTATTTCATGTGTTGTCCTAGCCTAGTGTCTTAGAGTGGTTCCTTTCTCCAAAATATAATAACCATGGTTCTCTCCAGACATGTCCTAGGTTTTGTGGTTCTCTACCTGTCTTCTCCATTTGAGGCCCAGAAGCCAGTGATCTGTTCTGCAAGCCAGGTTGCTATCCTCCTTTTTATTTTTATTTTTTGGTGGTACCACATGACTCATGGGATCTTAGTTCCCTGACCAGGGATTGAACCCCGGCCCCTGCAGTGGAAGCACGGAGCCCTAACCACTGAACTGCCAGGGAAGTCCCTGTTGTTCCCTTGATTGACAGCTCCTCTTCATTCCAGTGACCTAAAGGCAGAGGGTTAGACAGTGGAGTGGGGATTGACAAAGAGGTCAACATGGGTATGGAGCCATGTCTAACTTAACATTTTATTCCCAATAGCCTGGTGGCTCAGAGAGTAAAGAATCTGCCTGCAATGTGAGAGACCCGGGTTCAATCCCTGGGTAGGAAGATCCCTTGGAGAAGGGAATGGCTACCCACTCCAGTATTCTTGCCTGGAGAATTCCATGGATAGAGGAGCCTGGTGGGCTACAGTCCATGGGGTCCCAAAGAGTCGGACACAACTGAGCAATTTACACTCACCCACACCCACACAGGACTTAACCAATAGATGTTGAATCATTGCATACATGAGTGAATAAATAAATGTGATACATGTCATATTGTCAAGCTGTGATTACTCAGTGGATTTTTACAATCTCACAGGAAAAATGAATATTGTAAATTGGACAGAAAATTTTTGAATCATCCCATGTTCAGTTTTTCAAGCCAAAACGTATTTCCAAATAAGATTGACAAGATGTCTCATAATCCCACTCCAACTCTTCTCTGGCAGCCCCCTCACAGGTAGAGATCATGCTGAGAATTGTGAGTTGCCACAACTTTATTAGCAACACATTTATGAGTTTCCAGTAAAGCTAATAAGGCTTGTGGGAATCAGGGTCTGGAGTTCATCACTGCCCCCTCGTCAAACAAAAGTTGTGCTTTTCTGTGCCCAATCTACAAAGCGGATTGTAAGGAAACACTTGACTGTTTCATCTTTTCACATCCAGCCTTTCCTACATCCTGAAAATAAAATTGATTCTTCCTTCAGTGTAGCAATAAGAATAGCTTTTCAGTGCACCAGAGAGATTGTTTTTCTTCAGTGAGTGGATGGCACAAGGGTTTGAAATGGGAATCTACATCTGGAAGGGATCCAGTAGAGCTACTGGGGGAAGGCAGAGGTGAACCATGGTTGCTGCTCTGTGAATGGGTGCTTGGTATAGAGACCTGGTTTACTTTCCCACTTCAATATTCTCCAGATGTTGGGAGGCTTCCGGTCTGAGCCACTGAATGACTGTGGTTGCACCCTTTCCTTCTCTCTGGTCACCTCAGAGCCCCATTCTGCCACACTGGGGGACTCAGCCATAGGAAACACTCTGAACTAGTATAATTAGCCCTGCCTGAACCCAACAAGGACCTGTAAACCCCACCTCTCATCTCTGAGGTCTTCCGTATAGCAGACATAATATTGAGTACCTACTTTGTGCCCAGAACAGGGGTAGCACTAGGATTTGGGCATTTTGACCAAAAAATGAAGTCCCTTGAAACAGAATTCTCAAATACATCGTGATTGCAAATTTTCCTTAATATAAGGAGAACCGTTTCTTACAGAATAGGTTTTAGCAGAGCTTTGGTCCATGGGAAACGCTCATCAACCCCTCCATGCAATATCCTAAGGCAGAAATCCCTAACATGCTCACACGTCCTCGGGAGTAGACTAACACTGCAGTGACATTTTCTTCTTGTCCACAGATGATGAGGAGATTTCTCTGAGTACCGAGCCTGAGTCTGCGGAAATTCAGGACAGCCCCATGAATAACCTGGTGGCAAGCAGCTGTGGGGAGCCCCCTTGTGATGCATCAGAACCCTCAGGGACCCCAAAGCCTGAGCAGCCCAGCCAGGGCAGCACTGTGGGCCCTCCAGGGATCGAGAGCCTGGAGCTTACCAGTCTGGTTGAGGCAGCGCCAGGTACCACCGAGGCAGGAGATGATGGCACAGTCTCTGTGGGGCCTGAGGGGGCTGGGGAGCTGCTGGCCCCCGGGCCAGAGGACACAGAGCCCGCCTTAAGTGCAGAAGAACTGGCCGAGCGGCTGGACCTGGGAGAGGAGGCGGCCCTACCGGGGCTGCGGGAGGACGGTCAAGCCCCGAGCAGCCCTGGGGAGCCGGTGGCTGAGGAAGGGGCCACAGAGAGCCGGGCTGGGGGGCACGAGGAGGAGAAGGAGCAGGTGGAGGAGGAAGAGGGGGGCGTGTCTGCCCTGGGGCAGGGGGAGGACAGGCTGCAGCTCCGGGCGTCGGTGAAGAGGAAAACCAGGCCGTGCTCCCTGCCTGTGTCCGAGCTGGAGACGGTGATCGCGTCCGCCTGCGGCGAGCCAGAGACACCGCGGACCCACTACATCCGCATCCACACGCTGCTGCATAGCCTGCCCTCGGCGCAGGGCGGCAGCGCGGACGAAGACGACGGCGCCGAGGAGGAGCCCACCCTCAAGGATGCCTCGGAGAAGGATGCGCTCAGCGAGGTGGACACAGTAGCCGCGGAGCCTCCTCCCCTGGAAGAGGATGGAGAGGCCCCCGAGGGGGCCACTCCAGGCACGGCTCCCCTCGGCCACTCGGGCTTGGCCAACGGCTCGGCCCCGGATGGCGACGCGCTCCCCAGCACGGGGAGCGAGAGCGACTCCAGCCCGCGGCAGGGCGGGGACCACAGCTGCTGCGACGCCTCCTGCTGCAGCCCCTCCTGCTACAGCTCCTCCTGCTACAGCAGCTCCTGCTACAGCGCCTCCTGCTACAGCCCCTCCTGCTACAACGGCAGCAGGTTCGCCAGCCACACGCGCTTCTCCTCTGTGGACAGCGCCAAGATCTCCGAGAGCACGGTCTTCTCCTCGCAGGACGACGAGGAGGAGGAGAACAGCGCCTTCGAGTCAGTGCCCGACTCCGTGCAGAGCCCGGAGCTGGAGCCGGAGTCGGTGAACGGCGCGGGGCCGTGGCAAGACGAGCTGGCCGCCCCCGATGGGAGCGTGGCCAGAACCGTGGAAGGTCTGGAGTCCCCCGTGGCAGGGCCGAGCAGTCGGAGAGAAGGTTAGACCTCACACCCCATCAGAGTGGGAATAGGACCACCACGAGGGGGACGCAGGTCTCACCAACATGGTTTAAAACCGAGAGGGAGAGGATCAGTCCCAAATAAGGTTGCTGCGGTGGCCACGTGTGCCTGTCCTGTACTTCTATGTGTGCATGTGTATATGTGTATGTCAGTATTCCAGACTGTGGGTAGCTGACACCCCACCACCGCTCAGATACTCCCCAGGAATGACAACTAGTTGGATGTGAGCGTGTACTTGTATGTGTGCTTCTCTGTTCTAACTAATCACTGATGATAGGGTACATATTACCCTCCAGTCTTGACAGCAGCAAGAGCATCAAAGCTAGTACCAAATGATATGAGCAGAAAATGATCAACATTAAGTGGGTAATATGTCAATATCTGCTGACTTCCCACAACTTACGAAGATTAGCAATAAATGTTAATATAAGTGGAAGAACATTGATATTACCTGTTTTAGAATTTAACCTGTGTACATATGAATATGTATAGCCTACATGTATGTGTCATGATTTCTGTCTACTTGATTCTGTTATTGTTGTTGGTTTTGTTTTGTGTTGTTTTGTGGGATTGGGGAGCTATTTTGGCTAATGCGAAGGAAGGATACCATGAATGTGTGAATCACTTTGTCTCCAGTAAGATTCTAATCCAACAGGTGCCCTTTTTAGTTTAAAAATGTATTCTGTGTCCTAACCAAAGACCTTTCTTCTTAGTCATGCCTCTAGAAGCATATATAAAGTTAACTTGCATTTCCTAATCCAGAATTGGGAACCACCTGCCAGTCAAGTGACAGTGACATTGAGGGAACTAACTTAAAAGTCACATGATAATATGAAATAATTCAGCTGTTTTAAAAGCAAAAAATATAGATTCTGCTATTTTGCTGTTCTAATTTGTTTGAATTAGCCTCCAAACAACATGCAGTGGTATTGTCTCTAGATTGTAAGCTCATCAAGGGCCAGAATTCATATCTCCTTTATGTCTGCTAAGCAAATGCCTGGCACCTGCAAATTTTTATAGGAACGTACATGAGTGTAAAAGAAATAATTTTAAGTACTTAAAAGTACCCAATTCTACATTTTGGAGAAAGAAGGGGTGAGCGAAAGTGGCACATAGGGTAAGGAGAAGCCCAAGAAAACTGGTAACAAAGAAACCAGAGTGCCGTACTGTAAACCAGGGTGACATACCATACAATGTGGAAAAGCACGCATGAGTATGAGAATGGGGTGGACAACCCCTTTGTTTAATAGGGGTGTTTTGAGTCTCTTCTTTGTTCTAGGTCAGACGCTATGTGTGGAAGGCACTCAATAATTACAATAGAATTAAAAATAAGTATATCATAAGGCAATCTGGGGACAACTGGGAGCTACCAGAGATGCTTCAGACCAAAGTTGGGAAAACTTTTTCCATAAAGGTCCAGATACTACACGTTTTAAGCTTTGTAGGTCAAGAGGCAAAACCAAAGCAACTCTTCTCATCAAAGGGGCATTTTTTAAGAAAGAAAAAAAAACATTTTTACCTTTAGAAGTATAATAACCATTTTTACCCCAGAGCCACATAGCTACAAGTCTGAATTTATAGTCTGTCAATCTGTTGTAGCCAATGGGTTATATTTGGACCCATGTCTCCAATGATAGGAGACAGTCCACACATGGGTAATTGAAACTTGACTCAGTATACATTGATATTTTAAAAAGGATATTGCCCATGCCTTTGAGGGTCTAACAGTCCAGCAGTGGGGAACCCATCCCCTTTACCAAAAGGATGAAAAAGTTTTTCAGGGCCAGAGTGGAAGTCTATGTTTCTAAAGAAATTTCTAGATTCCTGAAATTTTTTGCAGACTGTAAACTCCAAAAAAGTTAAGAACATATGCTTCACTATAGTGATTACTAGGGGCAAAGCAAGGATTCCTGGGAAGGACTGTTGATTTCCTGAAGGCTGTACCTATGCTGGCACGTGACTTCCTACAGCCAGTTCTCTCCCTTGGTAGGGAGTCCCCCGGCAAATGAAGTCAAAGTGGCGGATCTGTCCCCCACTCACCACCATGCTTCCAAGAGCACCCGCTCAAAAGAAACACGTATGCCTGATTATATGCACATGTGCCCTCTTCTCCCCTCACTGGGACTTTGGAGATCGCAGATTCCTTCCTGAGGTTAGCCGAGGAAGGTGTGCTATACTCACACCCACGCAGGTGCGTCTGCAGCAGTTTGTGGAGGATGTCTTCTTCATCTACTTTGTGTTTCTTTTCCCTCCACATGTGCCTCTTTTTTTAACCTCAAAGTGATTTTTAAAAACCTTCAGATCAAATTTTTAAAAAAGGAACATAATGCGATTATGGGCAGCTTCCAAGGTAGCTCAGGGGTAAAGAATCTGGCTGCCAAACAGAAGAGGTGGGTTCGATCCCTGGGTTGGGAACATCCCCTGGAGAAGGAAATGGCGATCCACTCCAGTAATCTTGCCTGGAAAATCCCATGGACAGAGGAGCCCAGCCGGCTACAGTCAATGGTGTCACAAAGAGTCGGACACGACTGAACGACTAAAGAGCAACAACAATAATGTGATTATGAGCTCAACCCTGGCATCAGGCTCCCCTGGGTTTATCTTCAATCTCCCCACTTCCCAGCCATGACACCTTAGCCAAGTTACCTAACTGCTCCAAACTTCACGTGTAAACTGGGTGCAAATGTGGAACATACCCTAAAGGGTTACTGGAAGGATTAATTGAGATGATTCCTATGAAGTGCTCAGCCTCTGAGTGAGGGTTCTTCCAGGTCGATGAGCAGCAAGGCTCCCTTTTAAATTGGAATAAGTTTCCTTCTCAGAAGTTCTAGCAGGTCTGACCCTTGCTTTGTGTTTGAGGTGAGGGGGATGGTGCGGAGCTGCGGCCTCGTGCAGAGCAGAAGTGGCTTGCTTCCTCTTGCTTCCATCCCGTTGGCTGAGATGCATCAGTCACATCATTGCATTTGCTTGGGGTTCACGGGAAGGTGGGGTCAGCTCCATTAACCCGGCAAGCAACACTATTATGTTTCCACTAGCTTGGAGGAGTAATTAACCTGATTGGTTGAATTAATTACAACAAGGTAAGTCTCTTGTTTTTTTTTTTAACAAACTAAATTTAAAACACAGCAGCCGGTGACATAACAACTGTATCATTGTTTTTCTCTCTTTTGTTTTTTTTTTCAGTTTCTGACATTGAGCACATATAAATATGAACATGAGTGTTATATCCACTAAACATAGAGCCCAACTTTGGAACAGGAGTTAGTTTGCAAGGAGCTGTATGCTGGCATGAGGGAGGGGCACCTTCCTTGACTTTCCTTAGTCTCCGAGTACCCCAGGGGTGTGAGTCACACACCAGAGTTTGCACAAGAAATGATGTTATATATTTAATATTTAAAAGGACACTTTGTTCCTGAATACATTTCTGTTTTTGTTTTCCAGTTAGCTCAAGCTGTTAAATGGCTAAATTCACTTAATTTCCTTCCTAATTAATTTCTGCTTATGTTTTTAAGTCAGTTCTATAGATCTAGAGCAAAAAGAAATAATCATCTTTTCCATGTATGGACACTCTGAGAAATATTTTTGAAATTTGAGCTCCCACAAAGATCTTGTTTTCACAGTTCGTCTCTTTTGGACCACGGAATAATGGGACACTTGGTATTTGCATCAGCCATGGAAGGGCAAAAGAAGGAGAAGCCTGACCTTTGTCCTTTGGCCAATAGGGGCTATTGTGAGAAATCCAGGATGGGGTGCAATGGGGGTTACCAGTCTAAGGGCTGGCTCATGGCCTGAACTTTTCTAGCTCCTCACAGATCAAGAGCAATTGACCCTGATTATGTGACCCAAACTGCTGGTACTGGAGGCCCCTCCACATGCAGTGTTACCGAGACCTGAAGACATCATGAAATAGGAGCTCCATTTTAAAACACTGTTCAGTTCATCATAGGTCTTCCTGACAGTATTATTAGCTGTGTCTATCATAATTGGGCCATGCATTCTATGGATATGTTTATTTCTAAAATTGCTCCATGTCTGTCTTTCTGCTTCCTTCTATCCCACTTCCATGTTTCAAGTTCCCCTGTCTCAGTCTTCCTGCCTCTTACCTACTTCCTTCGTCTCTTGTCTTTTCTCTTTCCAGAACACCCTGATTTGTCTTCTTCTTCCTCAGAATAATTTGAGACAATCATGAGATCCCATAGGTCCTTGGCTCCCCACCCCAGCCCCTAGGTTTCATACAATAAGAATTTACCTTCTTGGCCCATCAGTTCCTTAACCCCATCTTGAAATTGCAGCAGCTAAGAGTCTCATTCCAAACACAAAATCTGAAAGATAGCCTCTTGGCAGCCCTCAAATGAAATCTATCTGAAAAAGGAGCTGTCATTTTGCACAGTCCCCAAAATTTATGGGACCTTATAAATGCTGTTCTTCCCTCCAACAGGCCTGTTTCTTTTCCTGGGCTAATCTCAGGCTCTGCTTATTTTCTTCTAGGTCCCTATCTGATGCCACCTTCCCCTCAAGAAAATTCAGGTCCCAGTCCTACCTGTTGGTCTGTTATGGTACAAATCAGAACCATTAAGTGTTTGACTATTTGAGTTCAAAAAAGAAAAAAAGAGTTCCCTCTATTCACTCATTCATGAATGGTTCTGAATGTCACAAACTGACAACCAAAAAATCGATTACCCACTCTTTGGGGTTTTTTCTTGCAGTAGTTTGTTTTACAGTCATGCTTTTTTGATGACGTTGCCACAGCAATGAATGAATCTGAATATCTTGACTATCTTGTCCGTAGGTGAATGTCCTACACTCCATAATTCCCAGCCAGTAAGCCAGCTTCCTTCCTTGAGGCCTGAACATCATCACTACCCAACAATCGATGAGCCTCTTCCACCAAGTAAGCTTTAGTTTTGAAAATCTATGTCTTAATTCTTCCTATCAAATCTAAGCAGGTCAGTATGAACTTTGTATATAAACATCCAAACTCTTCCCCCACTCTGTACCTTACAGTGTGATCAAAAACCATTATGGCGCCTACCATAAAAATTGTTTGGTTGGTTTTTTTGTCAGATGGTTTCAGGATGTGATCTCAAATAGATAACCCAGTATTTTCAGTAACCCTCAACTTCTGAAATGGAGAGCATTTCTTTACAAGACTTGACTAGTCCTTGCAAACTGTTCATGACCCTTATTTCACAAATTTTACTATTTTCTATTTAAAAGTTTTCAGTTCAAGATGGGATAATCCTATTATACTCCATGGGACCATTTATGGTTCAAGCATAATAAGACATTTCAACTTGCATTTTCCTTACTCTAAATTGTACCCATATGTGACAGCTGCAAATTTTTTCTACAGGTCTTGGAGGTTTCCAGGCAAAACATCATCTTTAGGGGTAGAATTCAATCACATTCTCCTGGTAACTGTAATGTGTATTAATAATTATCTAGCTGGTTATTTGAACTTGGGAAAATCACTTAGTCTCTCAGAGACTCAGTTTTCTTATTTGTAAAATTTTAATTTTTTCATCTGCTAAGTGCTAGATTTGGATTAGATAGTCTCTAGATATTGTCCCAATGTAATTTGCCCTTATAATCTTCCATTATTATGTTTGTAAGAAGGAACTGACACCCCAGATATTATATATTCACTTAGCATCACATATGTTCATCAATTCTAGAACATCCCTGTTTTGGTTTCAACTCATTTTTCAAGCAAAGATAACCTTTAAAATTTGATAAATTTTACAACTGCAGAATCTTTCCAGGATGGAAGGAATCAATGTTTCTTTACTTTCTTTTGCCTGTGCTTACATTAACCCAATACAGTTTTGAAAGAAGAAAGACTTATTCTTTAATTCATCTATTCTTGACAATATGATATATTTAACATTTACACCATTCTTCTCCTATTCAGTTGTATTTTATCAGTGATAAAACAGTGTTTTTAATGTGTGGACCAATTTCAAGGAACACTATATTTGTTGGAAGAGACCAAAATAGGCATTATGTCCTTAAACCTGTGATGCCTGATTTCTTTCTTTATACATTGATTTATGGATATCCCATAAATGTCACTAGAGATACTTCTGACTTAGAAAAATACCTATAACATTTTCTTTCCAAGAAAGGAATGTTTTCTCCACATCGAAAAACATATCTGTGAGTGTGCACATGAATTGACCTTCAATCCATGCAAGAGTAATAACTAGTTATACATACAGATATTGTGAATGAGTATAATATATTCTGTTTTAAAGAACTGCTTTATATAAGCTGCTTTTGATAATGAAAATAAATTTCTTCCAGACAGATTTCAATTTTCTGTCCATATAACACTGGGAAATATTAGAAAAGTTGGTAGTGAAGCTAACAGCTAAATATTCTTAAATAATTTCACATGGCACATGGATGAATTCTTCCCTGATAGTTATTCATTGGATAACTATTTATTAAACACTTATTCTGTGCAAGGCACTGTTCTAGGTGAGGCAAACAGGTGAAGATCCCTGCCCTCAAGGTGCTTACAGTCTGGACTGGCAGAGACAGATAATAAAGAATAAAACGAATAAATGACAAATAATGCAGCACACTAGAAGGTATTATGTGCTGTGAAAAAGCAAAGGCAGAACAGGGGAAGGAGGATCCGGAGTGTATATTGATGGCTGATTTGCCATTTTAAATAGGGTGGTTGGGTACACTTTATTGACAAGGCAACATTTGAAGCTAGACTTAAAGGTGGTAAGAGAGTTATCCACCCAAGTATTGGGAAGGAAAAACTGTCTGAGCAAATAGAACAGCCTGCCTGGTGGGCTTGAGAAACAGCAAGAAGGTCAGTGTGTCTGAAGCAGATTTAGGAAGTGAGGAAGCAGCAGGTAAAGAGATCTGTCAGGGGCCCAGATCACTCACATAGGACCTTGTAGACCACTTAAGGGTTTGGCTTTTACTCTGGATGAAAGGGGAACATTGTAGGTTTCTGAGCAGAGACTTGACATTGTCTGACTTAGGACTTAACAATTTTTTTGTGTTGACATTAAATTGTGAGGGAAAAAAATAGAAGCCTGAGACCCAGTATAAGGTTCTTGCAGGTGAAAAACAGTGGTGGCTTGGGCCAGCAGGGAGCAGAGGAGGTGAAGAGAAGTGGCCAGATTCTGGACAGACATTTTTGTTTTGTTTAGTTTTGTTTCCATTTATTTTTATTAGTTGGAGGCTAATTACTTTACAATATTGTAGTGGTTTTTGTCATACATTGACATGAATCAGCTGTGGATTTACATGTATTCCCCATCCCGATCCCCTCTCCCACCTCCCTCTCCACCCGATCCCTCTGGGTCTTCCCAGAGCACCAGGCCCGAGCACTTGTCTCATGCATCCAACCTGGGCTGGTGATCTGTTTCACCATAGATAATATACATGTTTCGATGCTGTTCTCTCAAAACATCCCACCCTCGCTTTCTCCCACAGAGTCCAAAAGTCTGTTCTGTACATCCTGGAGAGATATTTTGTGGGTAGGTTTGCTGAAAGATTGGATATGATGTATGAAATAAATAGAAGGGTCAAGAGTGACCTGAAAAGTTTTAACCTGAGACAGAAAAGGAAGGCTGCAGATAAAGCAGGTTTGGGTGGAAAAGAGCTGAAATTTGGTTTTGATCGTGTTATAGTTGAAATGTTACCCAGGTATTGATGTGAAGAAGGCAGTGAGATGTGACAGAAGTTCAAGAGAAAGGCTCAGACTATAAACGTGATATTGCACTTGTTAATGTGAAAGTAAAATTTATAGGTTTTATGAGTATAATAATTAAAATAGGATACATTATTAGGCTCTACATTGTTCTTAGACTTCATGGAAAATATATAGTATAATATATGACAGATCTCTGTATCACAAATGAATGGACACACATGAATGACTACTATCCCAAGGTCATCCATAAAGGTATCCTTTTCAGGAGTCTGTTTTGGTATCACAAAGCCAAGTGCATTGGACATGCTGAGGCTGAAGTTCCATTCAGAAATCTTCTCTTAATGCAATATGGTTTATACAGTATTTGAAAGTAAATTCTTTACAAAGCAACCCAGAAAACCCACTTATAATCTCTAATTATGCTTAGCTATTATTTTCTGAATATTTATGAGAGGTTTAATTAGCCCTCTGCCTTCCACATGTTTAATATATTAACAAAAGGGCCTGTCTGTCTGGCTTGACATTCTTTTCCGTGAGTGATTTGGAAATACTGAAGGTCATAAAAATGATCATTATCATTGCACCATACTTCAGTTCTTTTCCTTGGAGAATCCATGAGACTGGAGTCTTATCTTTGAAGGAATCCTTTGTCTACTACGGGTCACCTGGAGGGCAGGGATGTGTGTTAGTCAGCGATGTGTCCTCAGGACCTGGCCTGATCTCTAGTTCATAATGAGTAAAAGGAGGTGTTTGTTCAAGTGAATGAAGTAGCATGATACTCTTCAAAGGTTAACACTCATTCTTTGTTGGATGACAGTCATATTGGGTTCTTTAAAAAAAAGCCCAAGCTGCTAGTTTGGGAATCACTGAAATTTTTTAATGTTTGGCTTGCAATTAATTACTCAGTAGTTACACAAATACACAATTCCATTAATGAGCTAATTAACATTTACAACTAACAGTTGACAACTTAATCATTTAGTAGTTAAATTTAATCAAAACCTTCTAGAATATATTTATACAGCCTGACTATATTTTTTTTCCAATTTGTCTTATAAGCTGAATTTTATATTTTCTGGTATTTTAGATTTCCTCGGGCATTATTTGGCAGTCCCTCAGGTAAATGTCTAACATAAACCGTAATGTTCACAGACAGATAAACCATGAACATATCAAACCATAACTAAACCAAATATATTTTTTCATTTTAAAAACAATTGAGAGTTGCTATGTCATTACCTGAATGATACTTTTTCAACAGAATTGTTAAATATCTGACCTACTCCCAAAAGCTATGGCTTTTCTCATTTAAAAGGCTGAATAGTTTTCCTCATTTGCAGTCATTTTTGCATTTTTTTCTTTAGTGTAACTCATTTTTCAGCATAACTTTATCATAAAGCTATTATTTCCACCACATTTTTACATGTGGACTCTAAAAGCTTTGCCCATCTCCGTACAGCAGACATTAAACTCATCTTCGTTAAGCTCAGGTGTGTACATGTGACTCCCAGCTCTCTCGGGTTTTCAGGGTTTTTTTCGTCCTATCACCCCAGTCCGGCCCCGACGTATATCATGGACTGTATCATCTGTGCTTCCCACCTTTTAGTTGGTTGCTATTGTTTAAATTTGAGAAGTAAAGAATTTATCTTTATCTTGGGCTCCCTCTACTGTTTGGGATGGTTATTTATCAACAAAGAGATACATAAAAAGCTTGATGCTAGTTAATAATCGTGATTGATTTTGTTTTGGTTGAGAAATATTTGGCAGCCACAAATAGGTTGAACATAAACTATGAATTCACAACTTATCAGAGGATGGTTTGAATTTAGTTTCTAAGCGTCAAATCTTTCCATTCTTTCTCTCAAGAGGTGATCAGTTAAGGCTGTGACGTATTAGAGGTTATAGGAAGCTGCACCTACATGCAGTATTTTAGAACTGTAGTCAAACCTGGTTTTAAGAGGAGCCATAATTCCCTCCTAACCAGCCATCCTCCATCAGATTTAACAAAGAAAGGACTTTTTTCAGCATCAGAGTGTCAGCTTTCGCAGGAGGACATTTCCAATCTTCCAGCTGTCACTTGGTAGCCAAGAAAATTGACAGGATGGATTTTTTTAAAGAGGGAAATAAATATTTGACTTTGTCTTTAGAAATTGTTAGAATTTTAACGTAGGTCATATCTGAGGAACCCCAGTTACTGTCTCAAATGGTCCGGCAGAGAATCAGCGTCCCATGGGCTCTTTCCTGGCACACCAACTCCATGCCAATGCCTCAAAGGTCACGCAGGTGCTCTGGGCAGTTCTTGGTCTTTGGCGAGTCACCAGCAGTGAGTTCTACCTGCAGAAGACCTGGAAGTGCTTATCTGTTTCACATGGCTCCGTAGTTTGTCCTTGATTCTTCTTTTTGCCTTTTTGTCACGCGCTAGACTGGGAAGCTCGCATTGACAGCCACGGGCGGGTCTTTTATGTGGACCACGTGAATCGCACTACCACCTGGCAGCGCCCCACAGCAGCAGCCACCCCCGACGGGATGCGGAGGTCTGGATCCATCCAGCAGATGGAGCAGCTCAACAGGCGGTGGGTGACCAGCATGCAGTGAGCCCCTAGAAACCACGAAAGGGGAGGGGCGATTAATGGAATTCCCTCTTAGACTTCTCTGCTCAGACTGTATGAGGAAACTGCAAAGTAATTAACCAAGTCATAGTTAGTACTTAGAAAGCTAAATTTATAATTCAGCGGCAGGACATCAGCTAAGCCTGAGTGCCATTTAAAGATGGGGAGTCCTCTGTACACCTTGATGGCCCAGGCTCAAACACAGGTGTTCTTAGCCAGGGGCTCATGGACCACCCCCCACCCAGGTACTCACTGAGGGTGTCAATGTTCTGGGAACTGTTCAGAAACTGTAAGCAAATTATACATGGATGCACATTTTTCTGCGAGACATTCATATCTGTCATAAGAATCTCAAACAGGTCTGGAACACAAACAGTTTGGAAACAGTTTGAAAACATTCCAAGGATAGGTTTAACAGAATACTAAAAGCTGCCTGGAGAAAAAGCTGTCTCATAAATTGCTATATTCATGCCTACTCCAGTCCCATAATTGCTACATACTCAGAAATATACATTCTTAAACAGCTTTCATCATAGAAAATGAAATATTTAAAAATACTTTTTGAGAATTGTTTTGTCTAAAACATGGGCCCTTTACTAGTTTTTAGTAAGAATGTAAAGATGTCATTTTGTTTTCAACAAGCAAATGAAACCCTCAATAGCATCTGTCCCGTGTTGTAAGCTAGTACGAGCATCATACTCAGCATCTTACTCCTTTAAGATCAGGGCAATGGCTCTGGGATACTTTTCGTAGCCAGGAATGCAAACTGCAGGCTCAACTTCATTTATATCCACCTGATGTCTTGCTAGTGTGAAGTAAAGAAGAAAGGTAGAGAGGGACGAGAAAGAATAAATAATTAGACTTGGGGGACACAGCTATGGATAACAAACACCCTTTGAAAGTTAACTCTATACTACAGAAAAAAAATGGGCAATTTGACACTATTAAAAATAAAAAAAAGTTGAACTTCTAGTTACTGCTGTTGTAGACAACATGAGTTAGTCACTCAGTCGTGTCTGACTCTGTGACCCCATGGACTGCTCTGTCCATAGGATTCTCAAGTCAAGAATACTGGAGTGGGTTACCATTTCCTTCTCCCTGTTGTAGGCAGAGGAGGATGCTTTAGGTGAAAATCACGAGGATTCTTTTATCACATGAGCATTTGGAAGACACTTGCTTTCCATTTTTCCCCATCAATAGCCAAGTGTCATCAAGAACCATAAAGTATTTTCATTGGCAGCATATTTCTCTAGTCATTCCCACAGAAAGAAATCATATTACAAGGAAGAACACATTGTATATAAATGTACCAAAAGCCATGGGAGTGTCCTTTCATGGTGATTGCAACTAAAAATGCAGGGAACACAGCAAGCTCATTTTACATAGAGATGCCATAGGCAGAAATAGCCTCAAGGTCTGTCTTGCCAGACGGATAAGTTGAAAGTATTTATCAGACTAAGAAATAGGGAGAGCACCATCAGGCTGTATCTATGAAAGGTCCGGTTGAAACGCTAAGACAAAACAGAAACAGAAGTAAACACCTTGACCGACGACATAAAAATACGTGGAAGTTTGTTCATGACGTTCAGATTGTATAATATAAAAATGAAACCAAATCCAACCTTAACCAGGTCTCTAGAGAAGTGGGCAGGCTTTGGTGTATAAAGCCCTGTGCCCTGCAGTGGAGCTGAACATGCTGAGAAAAGCCAGACTTTGATGAACAGGAAGCTGTATTTGCTGCATCCATTTGGACAGATAAAGAAATCGAGCAATTTGAGAAAGTGCTTATTTCTTGTGAAAAATCCTACCTAGGGAAACTTAGATAACCTTGAGATAAGTATCCAGGCTCTTCAATGCTTATTTTAGCCTATTGCCTTCAAGCACTTAAAATTTTTCAGTGATTTGGCCTGATAACAGCAGCCACACAAAGTATACTGTCAGTCTTTTATCCGTTGCAGATGTGACCACACATAGGGGGCATTTGTTTGATAACCTGCAGTTATCAGGAGAAATTGACACCTGTCACTCTCTCAAAGCAAAATGGAAAATACTTCTCAGTGTTGGAAGAAGGAGTTTCTTTTTACTTCTGGCAGGGTGATTGTGAAAGGCAAATGTTTTGTGCAAAGAGATGCGCACTGCAAAATAAGGAGTTGACAAAGTAGCATGCGGTGAGCACGTGCCCTCAGCCACTCCCCAAGTGGCCTTGGTGGCGTCGCCTCATGCTCCGACTGCAAGGGAGCTCCTACTACTCGTTACCTGCCTTCCTCTGGGCACCTGTCTCCATCCTACAAAGATCCAAACCTAATGTTGTCTGGTCCCTGAGACCTCCCCAGAGCCCTCCACACGGAGCCGGCGGCTGCCTTCTCTGCAGCCCTGTTACTGATGGGGCACCATGCCTCCCCTTCTTTCTTATTCTTCTGTGCCCCTCCTCCCAGTGGCTGGATAGGGCCAGAGTTTACCAGGACTCAGCACAGGACAATTTCCCAAGTTAATTCCTGCACTTTCAGAATAGCCTGAATGAACTGTCTCTTCCTTCTTAACAAATACTTCTCAAACAAACCGAAAACATAAATACGTAGTCTGATTTTAAATAGTCAACTCAAGTTTGATGTTTTAGTTATCTGGATAAAATTATACTGTGGAGAAATGGAAGTCTTAAATATGAAAAAAAAAAGATCTTATAATCTTAGACCCCAAGGATTAGCTTTTTTAAAAAATTAAACTGTCTTCAAGTTTTCAAGTTCCATATGCACAGTTTCTGTATATTTAAAATGATGATATAGTTTTATATTCATTTTTCACTTACTAAATTATTAGCATTTTCATATTGCTACATAATCTTAAAGTTATCACTTAAATGATAGTGTTCCAATGAACGAATGTAATTTAGTTAATTTGTCATATTGTTGGATATTTATTTTTATCACTATTTTCCGTAAGACCCAAGGGCATGTAAAATGTTAGGATTGTCTTAGCATGTTTCCTTTGGGTTATATTCCCAAAACAGCAGGCCAAGGGAGATCTCTGTGGTTTCAGTATTTGATATCAGTGTTTAAGTATTTTTTAAAGTGATTCTGCAGATTCACTCTGCCAGCAATGGTACCCTCCCTTCCTTATCATCCTTTGGTGGGTTTTTACTGACTTAAGCAATTCTCCTGGCATCTTACATTTTGGTGCATCTTACATTTCACTTCTTGGAGGGAGGGTCTACTTCTGCTTCCATGAGCTCTTCTTTTACCAATTTTAGCTCCTCCTGTGCGAGTTGTCTGTTCTATAAGCTTAGTTTGTTTGGTTTTTGTTTCATTTGTTTTGGCTTAGCTCCTGAAGAGTTGTTTTTTTTTTTTCCTTCTGGTTTGGTTTTGTGTGTGTTCATCTGTGTGTCCATTTACAAATTAGACATTCCAGCTGACTTTCTTATCAGTTTCCATAAACTCTATGCGATATAAATATTTAACCTTTTAATGAAAAAATAAAAGGTGAGGGGGATATTGAAGGACTCTTCCTGATGAAATAGAAGAGAAACAGCTCTCCGACCCCCTCTTTCGTCTTCAGATCAAAGAGGGCCTCTGAGGCTACAGCCCTGCCCTTGCTGGGTGATCCTCCGTGAGTTGCTGTGTGTCCTGCTTCTCCAGGACTGTTCCTTCTCCAGCAAAGGCCAGGGGTGGGGTCTGGCACTTGGGTTTTGAGGCTGCTGACTTAGTAAAGTATGGGATACCACAGGTCCAACCAAGGACATGTGGAGCAGGTTGTGAAATTTCAGACATTTTTATCAAGTAAGGTTGTATTAACTCATTAAAATTCTCTTCTGTGGTCACTACACTTTGTGAAGGAAAAGAGAGGCCACACCATGAGGTTTGTCTAAGCCCTGTTCCAGATGTCTGTTGCTGAGGAACAAACCACCCCAGACTTAGAGGTGTAAACACCAATAATTGATTATTAGCACCACTGTCATCATTATCGTCATTCTCTCTCATGGTTATCATGGTGGGCTGTTCAGTGAGGCCCTTCTCGGGATGTCTCACGGTTGCAGTCAGAGGGTGGCTGGGCTGGAGACTCACATATCTAGAGGGGGATGCCGGCTGTTGGCTGGGACCCCAGCTGTGGCTGTTACCCAGAGCACCTCCATGTGGACTTTGCATGTTGCCTGGGCTTTCTCACAGCGTGGCTCCTGTATTCCATCACAAGTTGTCACTTTCATTATTGTCTATTGGTCCAGGAAGTCACAAGACCTTCCCAGCTTGAAGGGGAGGGGACATTGATTCACCTCTTAATACTAACAGGAGAATGGTAAGATTCTGGAGGAGCCTGTGGACTAAAAAATATAGTTGAGTCACTTTTGGAAAATGCAGCCTGCCTTGAGCCACTTAGGGGATCCTCTGACAGCAGGTCCTTTGGTCTTTGGCAGGCCTCACTCCTCCCCGAGGTCAAGGTTACACCCTTAGGCAGCTTCTCACTGAGTAACCCCCCAGCCCCGCCCAAGGCTGCACTACTTGAGTCCCAGCAAGGACTCAGGAACATCACAGACAAACAGCCTGCACCTTCCCTACATCCCCCCTGCCACAGACATGTGGGGGCTAAACACACGTAAGCCTTTCTCTCTCTCTGAGTCTTTGCTCATTCCTGCCCTTCCACATTTTCTCCTAAGAGGCCTCAGGAATGCCTCCCAGTAATAGCTGCAGGCAAAGCCATCATTCTGCCAGGTGTCAGGAGGCAGTGGCTGAGATTCCTTACATAAAATAAAACCTCAGACCACTGAGTATGTAGATAATACCATCTGAAGATTTATTACAAATGCAGATTTCGATTTTGCTCCAGTTTCTGTAATTATAATAATCACCCAGATTATCACTCTGGCAGGTAGTCTGAAAACCACACTAGAAAACAAAACTCCTTTTTATTTTATTTATGTATTATTTTTGGCCAAACAGCATGAAGGATCTTTGTTCCCCAAACAGGGATTAAACCCCTGCCCCCAGCAGTGGAAGCGTAGAGTCTTAACCACTGGATCACCAGGCAAGTCCCCAGAACTCCTCTTTAAAGGTCAAAGAAAGGTCACTGGTCTTCGGAATGCCACCACAGAAGACCCCATCTATGTGATAGTATCTCCCGTGCCCCTACCTTGGATTGCACTGGCTACTCGCTGCTCCGCAGATGCTGGTCCCCCTTCTCTTCACACTTCTTCCGCCACTGCCACATCTCTTCTCTGAGTACATGACCTGTATAGCAATGCTTCCCTAACTATGGTCACTGGTGTGACCTCTGGAACCTCCAGGTCAACCTGTCCAAATCCACACTAAAGTCTTCCTGCCAACCTGCCCATCCCACCTGGTCTTCCTCATGGCTGCTGCCTCCACCCACCTGCTCTAAGCAGAAGCCCTCCTTTCCTCTTCTCCAGCTTCCATATCCAGGCTCCAAATCCTGTTAAGTCTACACATAAAGTTATTACAGTTTGGCTGCTAAAGATCTCTTAAGTTCAGTCCCTTCTCTTATTCCTACTGTGCCAGGAGGAAAAGGGAGGCAGAATTCCTGTCCTGTGCCGAAGTGGGCTGAGAGACATCAGGCAAAGTCAAGGTCACACAGGACGGAGGAAAGCAAAGCAAAGAGAAACAAGACAGCTGGACACCTGCATACAAAACACAGTGAGGTGTAGGCAGGCAGGTATACTTTAGGTATAGTCTAGTTTAGGCAGGTGTAGTTTAGGCAGGCAGGAAGGTTTAGGTAGGTAGGCGTAGGTGATCTTGGTATCCCTACAATATGTGGGTGTTCCCCTCCCCCAGCAGCATCCTAAGAGACCAGCATGATACACCACGCCTGCCTGGGTCCAGGCTTCAGCATCTCCAGCCTGGACCAATGCGGTAGTTCTCAGTTGCTCTCCCCGACTCCAGGCTCGTCTCCTCCCATGCACTCCACATAGGTGGGGGTCAGTGTAGAGCTGAATCTGCCTCTTTCTCAGCAGCTGTCCAGTCCCTACAGCAGCAGTTCTCAAAGTCAATCCCTGGACCAGCAGCAACCGCTGCATCACCTAAGAACTGGTTAGAAATGCATGTTCTTGCCTCCCATCACTCCATCCCCAGACCTACTGAGTCAGAGAGACTCTGGGAGTGGAGCCTGGCAGCCTGTTTTCACCAGCCCTGTAAGTGATTCTGATGTAGCTCAAGTTGGAGACTCTGGGCCTAGATAACAATGTTCCAACCAGTGCTGGGCACCTGCTAGGTACTTTCTGCCACTGTGCTGGTTCCCTGGCCCTGCCCAACGCCTCCACATCCTGGTGCCACCATCAAGCTTCTCAGAGTTCTCTCAGGTGAGGTCTTTGGCATGTTTTATTCCCTCTGTGTACCTCCCCTCTAAGCTCCCTGATAAGTCCATACTCTGGATTCAGAATATATGGGCCTTGGGTGTTTCCTTGTCCCTGTTCGTAACTCTCATACACGTGGGGCATCATGTTCACATCACCAGAGTCATGGTCTCCATGCCTTTCCCCTTTTTGCTCTGTCCTGACTGTCAGTGTTCAGAGAGTAAGATCATATTCCAGTCTTTTCTTTGGTCTGAAAGTCTAGCATAGTGCAGGCCCTATTGGAAGAGTCAGTGAATATTTAGTAAGTACCCAGTTAGGTGACTGACTGGCCTACTGACTAATTCTCCAACTTGGGAAGAAAACCTAAAGGAACCTTCATATAAGCCGAAAGCATTTATTTGTCTGCCAGTGTTTTGTTTTTGTTTTTAATTTTCAAAAATGTTATTTATTGAAGTATGGTTGTTTTATGATGTTAATTTCTGTTTTATAGCAAAGTGATTCAGCTCTACATATGTGTGTGTGTATATATATATATTCTTTTTCATTATGGCTTATCACAGGATATTGAATATAGTTCCCCCTGCTATACAGTAGGCCCTTGTTGTTCAACCATTCTATATATATTAGTTTGCATCTTTTAGTATACAATCTTTGCACACTCCTTCCGAGTCATATCAGTTAACTGTCAAATAAAAACAAGTAAGTAGAACTTTTAGTTTGTAGACTTATCACAATCAAAGAGAGGTGATTTGCTATCTTAATTGTAATATTTTTAAGTTCCTTCCCACACCATTATTTTAGAATCAGTCCAACTTCATTTAATGCAGGGCAGAGGCTGTTTTTTATAATAATTTTTTGTGTGTTGATTTTTTTTTAAGTCACCATACTTGAAACACATCATAGCTTGAAAAACAATACGAAGTCAAATCACCTAGATATACTTGTCTTGCAAATTGTCTTAAGTATCTTGGGAAATTTTTGAGCACTTCTCTCCTGACATTTTTTGACATCTAAGACAGTTCTTTACAGATGTCCCCACTTACATGACTCGGAGCATCAGCCCCTCAACAAACCAACAAACCAAAGTTAACTCCTGTCTTTTCACTTTCTGATGCAAAGGTATCAAAATATTCAGCGAACCATTGCTACAGAGAGGCCTGAAGAAGATTCTGGTAGCCAAATTTGTGAGCCAGTTCCAGCAGGAGGTGGTGGAGGAGGTGGCGGGAGTGACTCAGAGGCTGAATCTTCGAGCTTAGGTATGGCCAGCGGATACCCATGGGATGAAAGGTGGATAAGGGAGAACGGGGGGTGGGCAAAATCCAGGAAGAGAAAGAGGCTTGGCGCCAGCAGCGTAAAAACAGACAGAAGTGTCTCACCAGGAATGTAAAGGGAAAGTGGATTCACAGTGAAGAGAACTTGTACTTGTTCATCAAGGTGATTTTTTTCAGTGTGTTAACCATTTCTTGTGTAAATTTATTTATTGGTGTCCTAAGGATGTTTTCCACTTGTAAGTAGAAGATGCAGTAAGAATTCAAAGTCTCCTTCCAAGGAGCCATGTGACAATAATAGGAATAAGACTTGTTTGTATTTAGAATAAAGTATCAATACAGTCCCCGCTGAGGGAGGAACCTGGTGGTAAAGAGGTTTTCCGTTGGTCTTACGATTTTAAATACACCACCACCCAGGAAATTTTTTTACCAAATACCATCAGCATCCACTAGGGGGTCTGGTGTTCATTTCTTTGAATCTGCCTGAGTGGAACTCACATGTAAATATTCAAAAAGCCTGAGACTGGCTTCTTTTTTGTTTTTAACTGAAGTATAGTTGACTTACAATGTTGTGTAAGTTCCAGGTGTAGAGCAAAGTGATTCAGTTTTACACATATATATTTCATATTCTTTTTCATTACTGGCTGTTGTAAGATATTGAATATAATTCCCTGTACTATACAGTAGATCCCTCTTATATATTATTTTATACTATATTATATTATGTTATGTTATAGTACATATGTGTTTAGTCATGTCGAACTCTTTGCAACCCTATGGACTGTAGCTGGCCAGGCTCCTCTGTCCATGGAATTCTCCAAGCAAGAATATTGGAGTGGGTTGCCATGCCCATCTCCAGGGGATCTTCCCAACCCAGGGATCGAACCCAGGTCTCCCACATTGCAGGCGGATTCTTTACTGTCTGAGCTATCAGGGAAGCATCTATATAGTGATTAATTCCAAACTCCTAATTTAGCCCTCCCCTGCTCCTTGCCCCTTTGGTCACCATAAAGTTGTTTTCTTTGAAGAGATTGGTTTCTATTTTTTATTTTTTTATACCTGTAATAGCATAAGATTATCACGGTGACATCCTGATAACCCAAATCTCCTAAATTGGGTAAATGATGGCAGATTGACAGGTATAGTACAGTCTGAGCAAATGGCTATGTGTTTTGCATCCTGCCAGGTCTCAGCTCTCTCTGAAAAGCAGAAGAGTGGATTCTTTCATGCCATCTTTTAAATACACATACATAGTTCCACCAACAATTTTAATTGCCCCCATTCTAATCATTTTATCAGATATACTAACTAAACTGACTAGTTAAGGTTTTTCTATTATTAATTCCTTTGTTTCACTGCTGAGAGAGATTTGCTAAGGTGGTGGAATAATTGGAAATATGAGGGAAAAGGAGGAGAAAATTCCTTTTTGGGTTTGGTATTGGATCTGTTGACATTTGCTGTGTAACAAATTATCCCAAAGCTTAGTATCTGAAGCTCACAGACGTGCATTAACTACCCCCTGCCCCAGTTCTGCAGGTGGGCAGTCTGAGCTGAGCTCCGCCAGGTGGTTCCTCAGGGCACTGGGCTCACACGTGTCTCCTTGGTCAGCTGTGGAATCGGCCGCAGGCTGGCTGGCCTGAAGTGGCCTCAGCCAGGGTGGCTTGTCCCTGCTCCCCATGGCTTTGCATCTTGTACGGGCTGTTCTGTTGATGAGGGAGAGAAAGTAATGGGGACCCACAGGCCTCTCAAAACCCTGGCTCAGAACCTCTGGCAAATTTTGTTGGTTAAAGCAAAACTCAAGGCCAGCTTGATTTAACGTGGGGAGAGGCTGCAAAGTCTCATGGTAATAGGGATGAAGGGAGAGGAAGGATTGTGGTCCTTTCTGCAAACAAACTGACATAGCTACAGTGAACAACTTATAAAGAAAATAAGAAAAATTCATTGGGATAAAAGGGACAAGTTATTCAAGGGCTTGATCCAACTGAAGTTACACTGGAGTACTCTGGGAAATAATGAGTCTCAACTGACAGACAGAGTGATAGCACGCCTGCCATCACTGTGACACTGGTCAGATCACCATTCAAATCAACAATCCTCTCCAGCAATTCTGGTGAAGGCTTGTAGGCTGCTAGTGCCACAAAAGGGAAGTCCTCTAATTGAAACGATCTTTTTCCAATGCCTTCAGTTGCTTTGTTTCACTTCTTCCAGATCTGAGAAGAGATGGGTCACTTTCTCCAGTGAATTCACAAAAAATCACCTTGCTGCTACAGTCTCCAGCGGTCAAATTCATCACCAACCCTGAATTCTTCACTGTACTGCACGCCAATTATGTGAGTGTTCCCACACACAGAGGGGGCCTGGCCTGGCTTCTGGCAAGACCCGAAACACAACTTTGCAAAGTCATTGGATAGATTAAAGAGGATAGCATTTTAACTCAGGCAAGGGGGTGGAGTGGGGTGGGGTGAGGGGTAGAGGCAGGGAAGAGGAGAAAAAAGATGGTTCCTTTTTGTTCTCTGTGAGTCTCTCCAAAAGGAGAAAGGGATTTAGGATTTAGGAATGCTGTATCTTCTTTGGGTTTTTGTTAGATTCAAATGGGTTAATGTCAGTGAAAGTATTTGGAAACAAAGATGCGTTTTTATTATAGCTAAAATTTTTAAGGGGCAAAATTAGGAAGTTGACAGAGTCCCTTCAACCTGAATCATTTTATAAAATCACTTTCATGAAAGAAAGTTTAAAATAGATAAATAGTTTTCCTTTTCATATAATTAGTTTATCAAATAACCTGCTTATGATGAATTTAATGTGATTTTTACATATTTAGCTTTCTCTCTTTCTTTTTTTTTGGTATTATCAAGAAAGCAATGACATGATATTGGTATGCATGCATGCTAGGTTGCTTCAGTCTGACTCTTTGTGACCCCATTGACTGTAGCCTCCCAGGCTCCTCTGTCTATGGGATTCTCTAAGCAAGAATACTGGAGTAGGTTGCTATGCCCTCCTCCAGGGGATCTTCCTAACTCAGGGATTGAACCCAAGTCTTAAGTCTCCTGTGTTAGCAGGCCAGTTCTTTACCACTAGTGCCACCTGAGAGTGAAGTGAAGTCGCTCAGTCATGTCCAACTATTTGCGACCCCGTGGGCTGTAGCCCGCCAGGCTCCACTGTCCAAGGGATTTTCCAGGCAAGAGTACTGGAGTAGGTTGCCATTTCCTTCTCCAGGGTATCTTCCCGACCCAGGGATCGAACCTGGGCCTCCCGCATTGTAGGAAGACGCTTTTACCATCTGAGCTACAAGGGACGTCCACCTGGGAAGCCCCCCTGATTTCCTGGTATTACTGTAGTCATTGCTTTTTTTTCATTTGACATATGTTTCCTGCGGTTCAGGCACGGATCTAGGTGCTAATGTAAAGACAGATTAGGGTGACACCTGATCAGCAGAAGCTCCCCATTTTGTTGGGCAGCAGACATGCAAAGATGAGTCTAACGTGACAGGACAAGGCTGTCCTCTGGGAGGAACAGAGTGTACTGGAAACACACGTGATGCTCTGGACACTCAGGGAGCAGTCCTGAGGAGATTGGGTCCTACAAGTTCTCCTCCCTGGTTCCTCCTCTGACAGCACAGGTTCATCCTTGCTCTTCTTGAAAGTGGTGAAAGTGAAAGTTGCTCAGTTGTGTCCGACTCTTTGCAACCCCATGGACTATACAGTCCATGGAATTCTCCAGGCCAGAATACTGGAGTGGGTAGCCTTTCCATTCTCCAGGGGATTGCTCCTCTTATCCATCTATAAAACCCACTCCAGTATTCTGCCAGAGGAGGAACCAGGGAGGAGAGGGAGGAGAGGAAGGAGATGCCCAGAGAGTGAGAAGGAGATTCAGGGGAGCAGAACCAGCCTGGGGCAGAGTGGGTTGGGGAGGGAGGAAGGAGAGGCTTGAGATGCAGGGGAGTTGGACAGTGTCCTCAGATGCTGGAGCAGTGGTAGAGTCATATTGCAAAGAGGTCCATGTGTGTTCATGTGGGCAGGTATTTACTTCTGGAGCAAGATCTCTACTTCCAACGCCTCCTTCTCAAGGCTCACAATAAATCCCTGTGTAGCAACCATATCACATCCTATTAAGGTGCTCAAAGTATGCTTGGTCTGTGTTTCTCCTAATCCCCACTCCCTTCCCCATCTGCCTGGACCACATCTCAGAGTGCCTACCGAGTCTTCACCAGTAGCACCTGCTTGAAGCACATGATCCTCAAAGTCCGGCGGGATGCGCGCAACTTCGAACGCTACCAGCACAACCGAGACCTGGTGAATTTCATCAACATGTTCGCGGACACGCGGCTGGAATTGCCCCGGGGCTGGGAGATCAAAACGGACCAGCAGGGAAAGGTGAGTGTGACTGCTGCTGGGGCCTTACATCAGAAGACCCATGAGCAGGTGACGAGGGAGGTTGATGAGAAGATCAAAGTCTGTTCCTGAGACACACTGTTGGCCACCAGGCGGAAGGGAGGGTAACTCTCCGCATCGGGATTTCTGTCTTTTGATGTTTAGAATGTTTCCAAATGTCCCTGACTTCTGCCCACCGATGCTCATAGCACCTCCAGCAAGTTGTGACATTGCTATGTGTCCCCTGGGTGGGGAGGAGGGTTGGGGGACACTTTCACACCCAACTGAGAACTACAGGCTCCATATTTCTTAATTTAGATTTGGAACTTGAAACCAGATTCTATTCAATGACCTTTCTATTGTTTTGCCTCCTTAGTTCCCTCTCAGAGGATGAAATTATTAGTTAAATAGGAGTGGCATTATTAAATTATTCATTGTGATTTCCCTAATAAGCCTTCAGTTCCCATTAAAACAGGGTGATTGGGCCAATGCAGTGTTACTGACTTGCATTTTGCTTTTGTGTGGCATTAACCAAAACTGGTCTTTCCCGGGGATGCTGTAGAAGCCTAGCTGAGTCAGCTAAAGTGAGAATGCTCTTTCTTAATCACCATCAATCACTTCAGTGTATTATAGGACAGGTCAAACAGGCTTCCGAGGAATCGTCCCTGTGTAATCTTTTATAAACTTTAGTAGAGAGACTCCTTCCCTCTTCTAGGATCAGAAGAATCAGGAGTGTTGCCAGCAAACATGTGTTTCAACAGGAAACTGCGTCATGCAGCTCTCTTCCTCTGTGATTATGACCATGCAAAACACAGTTCCCCAAGTCGGCTGATGAGGCTTCACAGTGCCCGGGAACCAGAATCCCCTCTCCCACACTTTGCCATGTGCCAGTACCCAAGCCCTCTGGAATATGGGAGGAAAGATTGTGTCCTCTAACTGATGCAAGTCCGCCAGTACAGTGAATCTCTATGACCAGCTCTGCAGTCCGGGATGGCAGGGGGTGCCTTGTGTAATGGAAAACCCACCACAGACAGAATCTCCTCTTATTTACCAGATGTGGCCTCCACTGGGAGACTGACAGTGAAACATGGTGTGGGAAACATGCTCTCTATGCAAAAGAAACAGAGCCAGTTCCAGAACACTAGACCATCTTCTGGTCTGTCACTCAGCCAACGTGCTTCTCCCTTTGTCAACCCATTCAGAGTCAACAGCCTTCACTTTTAGGGTGCACCATGTAGGAAGAGGAGGCCTGGGCTGGGCTGTTTGGTGCCTTTGAAGGCACATCAGCCCCACAAGGAAGACAAAATGGCACCTGACTCACCTCTCATCTTGAAAACCTGGGGAAGGTGGACACAGCCTCAGCCCAGCATCAACAGAGATTGCATGTGAATCTCAAGTTGGCTCCAGGGTTGAGCTGTGGAGGATGGTCATCATCCAGGAGGTGGTGGGGCTCAGGAGGTGGGACAGGTGACAGCCTGTCAGTGACAGGCATGAGATGGAGGTGGCCTCTACTGAGCAATATACATATAACAGCAAAAGAATAAGAAGCCTCTGGAGACCTGCTTCATGAAGGAAACAGAATCTTTATCTTGAGAAAAAGCATATCTTGTAGTATAATTTTCTTCAGAAAATAGAAATAAATATTCTAAAGATATCTGTTTATCATCTACACAATGGCACAAGAACACATGACTTATATTGAGCAAGAAGAATCCACACATAGAAAACAAGCCACAGGAAGCCAGACATAAGAAAACAGAACCAGAGTAGGATCTAGCAATCCTACTCTGGGTATTGATTAAAAAAACTGAACTCAAAATCTCAGAGATATCTGTACTACTGTCGGTTTTGCAGCTTTAATCAAATAGCGAAGATATGGAAGCAACCTAAATGTCTCTTGATGGATGAGTGGATAAAGAAAATGTGGTATATACATAAAAAGGAGTATTATTTAGCCTTAAAAAAGAAGAGGATTCTGATATACTACAACATGGATGAACCTGGAGTACATTGTGTTAAATGAAATTAGCTAGTCACAGGAGGACAAAGACTGCATTATTCCTTTTATATGAGAGATCTAAAGCAGTCAAACTCATAGAAACAGTAATAACGGTGGTTGCCGAGGGATGGGGACAGGAGGAAGTAGGGAGTTTCTGTTCAACAGGTATAAAGTTTTAGTTAGGCAAGATAAGTTCTGGAGATCAGCTATCCAATATTGTGCCTATAGTTAACAGTACTGTACTTTATGCACTTTAAATTTTTTCTTTTATTTTTTACACTTTAACATTTGTTAGAAAGGAAAACTCATGTTAAGTGTCCTTACTACAGTTTAAAACTAGAAAAGGATGTGGGCTAGATAAATGGTTTAAGATTTCATGGAACAAGAAAATGTAATAGCACAGGGATAAAAGAGAGGAGAAATGACACTATGTAAAATCGAATCCTGGTTATAGAATATGAACATGGAAGCAGCCCCCAAAGCACAGAGAAGGTACCATTTTGCAACCAGTGAAGGATAAAGTGAAAAAACATATGAAACCAGAAAAAGAAAAAAAAGTATCTCACCTTCTCAGCAAGAACCAATTTAATATCACAAACTCCCTTAAGATCCCTTGCCTGTGTGCTCCACTGTATAGTTTACATGTTTGTTCTATGTACTGTTTTGTCTGTTTCTCTGGCAAAATTTTAAGCTCTTTGAGAGCAGTGGTCTTTGTGTTGCTCATTGATGAAATTCTAAGGGCCTAGAATAGTGTCTGGCACATAGCTGGCCCTCACTAAGTCTCTGTTAGATGAAAGGCTTATAGATATTCTTGAAGAAGATATTAAAACAATAGATACAGTAGCAATAAGTAAATATTAGCTGAATATTAAATTATTAATTAAATATTGAAAATAAAGCTTTGATCTACAACAGATTGTTCAGATGGGCAGATTAATTGGACTCACTGAGTTACAGTAAAATTAATTAAAATAAATGCTACTCTGGAATGTCTTTAAATCGAGATTTTAAAAATCTTATCAATATACAGCCAAAATAATGTGAAAGTCATTTACAAAAGAATGAAAAATCAGACAAACCTCAAACTTCCCATCCATAAAAGCGAACTGTCAAAATCCACAGGACAATGACCACAGGTTATTGATGAGAAAGATTGCTGCTTAATAATCCTATTTCTGAAAAAAATTGTTATTGAAGTGTGAAGACAGTAGGGGAAAAACCTCATGTGCAAAAGAGTAGGCTCACCCTACTCTTTTGCCTGCCCTAAGAAAACACCAAAGCCATTCTCCAGATGGCTCACAAATGATACAGAAGAGAAAATCAATAATGGGAAAATCATAGCATTAAAAAACTTTGGTGATAGGTATTTAAATCAATCAAATGCACAAATATAAATGTAAATAATTGCTTTAAAATTATAATGCTTTTTATTGAAAAAGCTCAATAAAGTATGGGAAAATATGTATAATAAAAATGGAATACTTGTATAAGGACAATTTGGATCAGTATCCCTGGACCAGAATTAAAAAGATGAGGAAACAGAGAGTCAACTGGCAACACAGTCCCCCAGCTTCTTACGGTGTCGGATGCAAGAGCCTATCCTTAAGTAAGAAATCAGGCCTTACTGGAGACATTCAAGGAAAGATTGGACAACTACTTTTCCAGAACAGAAAGGAAACTCATGCATCAAAAAGGTGACTAATAATGTACCAAAAGAATATGGCTGCACAAATACTAGAATCTAGTCAGATAAAACATTTTAAGGAATTTCTTGGGACCTACATTAAATTTATAGAAACCTGCTTTTTGGACTGTGTTAAAGACTTTACAAGAAAAGAAGTAAAACCTGAAGAGACCACCTGTTCAGAACATTGCTTACAGAAGTATTTAAAAATGATTCAACAAATATCTATGAGATTTCAGGAACATCATATTCAGCAGAATGAAGCCCTGGCTGCCAAAAGAGGACTCCTTGGCCAGCCATGATAGAGAAGTCCTAATGGATGGACTTTTGGTGAAAGATTGCCAACAGCTATTGCACTGGAAATGAGGGTTCGCCTGATAGAATCCCCTGAAAGTAGTACTATCAGATTTGATACCAAACAAATGCAGCTTTAAAAAAGACATACCTAAGAGATAATTTAGAATGTTTAATAGTAAAAAATAAATATTGATATAGTATGAAAACAATAACAGAAAAATCAGTTGGTGTATTAATATCATAGAAAGGAGAGTTGAAACCTAAATCCTTAAAGTGAGGTAAAAGAAAGATTTTATATTCATCAATGACACAATTAAATTACAATAATCATATATACATTATGAGCCAAAGAACAAGATACATATTAAATAAAGAAAAATAAAAGAAATGCAAAGGAAATGAAGAAATGCAGAAAGTGGGAAAATGTGTTTTATATCCATCGGTTCAATAGATTAAATAGACAAAGTAAGATTTGAATACTTTCCTGTTAATGGAACATATATTAATTCTTTCATTTAAAATAAAGCTTACATTGACCTTAATTGCATACAATTTTTATCTGAGATATCGAAAATAGTCATATTAATAGAAACAGAAAGTAGAATAGAGATTACCAGGAACTTGGGGGCAGGGTGGAGGAGAGAATGAGGAGTTATTTCTTTTAATGGGACCATAGTTTCAGTTTTGGAAAGTGAAAAAGTTTAGGAAATGAATAGTGGTGATAACCACACAACAATGAGAATGCACTTAATGCTTCTAAAGTATGCATTTAAAAAATAATTAAAATGGAAGATTTTATATGATTTTTAATTAAAAATATACTTTTATTTATTTTTAATTGAAGTATAATTGAAAGATAATATTAGTTTCAGGTATACAACATAGTGATTCAGTATTTTTATAGATTATACTCCATCTACCATTATCATAAAATAGCAGCTATATTTCTCTGTGTCATACAATATATCCTTGTTGATTATTCATTTTATACATAGTAGATTATATCTTTTAATCCTGTTCCCC